CTCTCTCTCTCTCTCTCTCTCTCTCTATATATATATATATATATATATATATATATATATATATATATGTGTGTGTGTGTATGTTATATAAGATATATATAACATGTATTACACACACACATGTAAATATATATGTCACATATATATGCAATATATATATAACACATCGACTGTATTCTTTCTTTGCATATATATATATATATATATATATATATATATATATATTAAGAAATGGATAAAGTCCGACAATTTATTTATTAAAGACATTTTTATGTTTAACATTCTTTTTTATAGATAAAAATATTTAAGTAAATGTTCTGTTTATAATAAACAGTATTAAATAACATTTACCGGCCTGAATGTCCGAGAAATTTTAATAGAAAATATTCGTCCTTTGACAGGATTCGAACCTGCATCCTATACGGAACCGTCTTTTACACTGACGTGCCTTAACCGACACGGCCACAAAGGAGCGTTCGGTAGGCACGGTCGAATTTACTGCTTATAAACTTCAATCTTCCATGAATCTCGTACATTCATAACTGCTCATGGCGTATCAACTGAAAACCAATGACGTCATATATTAAGAAATGGACAAAGTCCGACAATTTGTTTATTAAAGATATTTTTATGTTTAACGTTCTTTTTTATAGATACAAGTATTTAAGTAAATGCTCTGTTTATAATAAACAGTACGTTAAACATAAAAATGTCTTTAATAAATATATCTATATACACACACACACATATATATATACATATATATATATATATGTATATATCACATCTATCTGTATATATATATATTTATCTATTTATATCTCTCTCCTTCTCTAACACACACACACACACACATATATATATATATATATATATATATATATATATATATATACCATTTAGCCAGCCTAGGTTATAGCACTCGCAGTGATGACCACCGTGATCAAACTGTCACTCTTTCGAGTCGGAGGAATAGATTTTATAAAACTTTCCACGCCATCATGGATTTTTTTCTCTCCAGTATCTACAAGACTAGTGGTGTCAACGTGTATGTTGGAAAACTGAGTTGGCATCAGCGAACCGAGTTCGAATTTCGACTTCGTTCGATTGTCTTTCACTGAGCGTTGATGTCTTTAGGGAAGGATTCATATGCCGGCGATCTCCCTTAACTAAATTTTACAAGATAGGTTGAAACACTTTGGCAGCCTTCTCAACATGTCGTCCTGCGATTGTTTGACACTGGCAAAGTGAAACCGTACGTGTTGTGTCAGTCTATGAATATTAATATATATATTAGGCACACAGAGATGGAAAATTAAGTTTTACAATTAATCTGTCCTTCTTCGGTGAGGAATCATGCTCCGCAGGTTATTCCTCCAGATTATTATTGCAGGACAGGGTAAGAAGCCTTCAGTATGAATCGAACTCGTTTCGCTTCTGAATTGATTTCCGAGATGTGTTCGTTAAGAATCACGTTGCCTAAGAGATCCTGATTCGATAGAGTTTTAAAATATAAATTGGAAATGATGTTTGTGATGACAATAGAAAACAGTATTTCAAACACAGTTGTTACTTTTTATTTTTGGTTTCTTGCTGAATTTCTTTTTGTTTGTTTTCAAACTCACAAGCGTGAAACTAAAGAGGAACTCATGAATGATTTATCAGACCGAGATTTCCTTATTAAGAGCCAATTTTTATCACTGTGGCGGAAAGCAATGACGATTTCTTTATTGTTTAACATAAAAAGAAAACGCTGCTTTGGGCATAATTTTGTTCAATACAAGTGGGAAACACGAAAAAAGAAAAGAAAAAAGACAAAAAGAAAGAAATGGTTATTTGGCAGCCAGCGTGTTTTTCTTTAACTTAGTTGGAGGATCGAAATATTTTGTGTAAAATACAAGAATCAGTCGTTTCAATAGAAAGAAAGAAAGAAAGAAAGAAAGAAAGAATAGCAAGCAAACAATATCAATTTTTCTGGAATTAATTATCTCAAACCTTCTTAGAGGGAAAATAAAAGAAGGAAAGAAAGGTTAGAAGAGAAGAAGGAAGAAAGAAAGAAAGGGTAGGTGCCAAAAGGAAGAGAAAAAGAAGTGATACCAGGGAAAAGAGAAGAACGGAGAGAGAAATGACAGGAAGAAATAGGGAAGGGGGAAAAAACGAAGGTGGGAGAAAGAAAGTATAGAAGTGAAGACGGAAGAACGAGGAGGAAAATAGAATGAATATTTGAAGCAGGAATAAAGGAGAGAATGAAAGATAAGAAATGATAAAAAAAAAAGACGCATAATGGGCACATAAGGATGAAAGAGGGTTTGGACAACTTAACACTCACAGGGCATATTGAAGGCAAGAGAGATAGAGTAAGACAGCGTGACATTACCAGACGAGCTTGTATGAATAAATTAGGGAAGGGTATCGGCGTCTTAGCAAAGGGAGAAAAAACGTCTAAGAGCTACATGAGATAAGAAGCTGTGGAGAGCCATGATCGCCTATGACCTGAAGAGGCGCAGCACATATAAGAACTTCAAATTTAGAAAGCTTCAAATAAAGTGATAATTGTCGACACCTATTATAACCGTTTCTAAAATCTTATAAGATACATTCTTCTCCGCTCGCTGTGGTGCAATGGTTAACGAGCTAGTCTAGCAGATGATTACTACTGTTATAACTGCTCTCCTTACTTTTGCCTTGCGTCCTGTCTTGAAGCTATTGTAAGATTACCTTGCAGAAATATATACTATCGTACTAAGTTCGACCCCTACTAGATATTCCACATTTGTGGATTCGTGCTGTACTTAGCTAAGCTTAAGAATTTTCTAGTATAGCTAAATTGTTTTTCTCAGAGTGCGCATGCGTTTTTGACCTTGTGTCTGTCTATCTTAAGTAAATATATACGAAAACGCCAACTGATTCCAGTTCGTCATGAGATAATTCTCTTCAATGGAAGAAAGATTAATTCAGATGAACGGTAATAATACTGAAATGAAGAAAGCTCTATAGACCAATACTACTGTAGCCAGTTTACTTGCACTTAGCTTCCCATACTTGTAGCCTTGTGCCATACACAATTATAGCTAATAAATTCATATGGCAGTCGTTCTTAATTATAAGATTGTTTCATTAACCGTAGTTGCCATTAACAAAGAAAGTGTGTTTACATTTTGAGTTTGCAGAAACTAAAAAAAAAATTCTTAAGAAAAATAACACCCGATGAGGAATGAATGTTTTTTAAGATGTAAAAAAGTCAATGAAAGAAATAAAAAAAGAAGATCCCTTCCTTAAGAGAGAGCTTTGGGAAAAGCAATGATCATGCGAGGGTGTCATAAAATCTTGAGTTTGACATCGTTTTAATTGTGGTGCATGACAAAATAGAATGAAGTAGGCTAGCATTAAAATAAAATTAAACAAGACAATTAAAAAAAAAAAAAGAAGAAAGAACATTAAAAAGAAAAGCTATGTTTTGTGCCTAGGGACCTTTCAGCTTCGATGCTCAGTGAAGCAAATATTTTTGAGACGGAGTGGTTATCATTTACCAACTAACTGAAAAGCAAAGGAAGAGAGGAGAAAAAAAATGAGAAGAAAATAAAAGGCGAACTTTGAAATTATTCATGAAATGAATTCTTGATTATTTTTCAAATGCTTAATTGTCTGCTTGTAATGTCGGTGTTGGTTGGACGGACGGCCGACAGTTGTTGGCGTCGTCCCTCTTCTGGGTAAACGATATCTGCTTCAGTAAACGCGGCAGGGGACATAAATCTCAGTTGTTCGTCCCTAAAGACACACATCAGCCATGTTTTCTGTCCAATAGCGCGATTATCTCCCCATGCAGTTGTATTTTCAAAACCCACTCTGCAAATCATTTATGAAAAAATATCTTTTACTCAAACAATAAGCGAAATATGTTTTTTGTATGTGAAGTTTTTTTTTTTCTTTTCGTTTTATTTACTTCTCAGTCTACCTACATTCGCTTTATCGTAAATGTTTTGCCTTTTTATTAGAGCAACACAAACTTAAGTTCAATAAAGTAAGGAATACACACGTTATTATTAGAGTTTAAAGTGTTACTTGCAGTCCTGCTAGAAACACGAACGTTGTGTTATGGTTGATGTACTAAATACGAAATAACAAAAAATGAGTTCATTCCCCACTGGATGTTGAGATGAATTCATTTTTGTCGATTAAAATGCATTATTAATTGTATTGTTATTTTAATATTCCCCAATTAAGATTTCGATTCATTCTATTTTCAAGTTTTCATTTTGAATCAGATTTATTTTTTCAGTAATAATAAAGCCATTTTATATCGCTATTTAATGCGTAATGCGAAATGCGCAATGCCATTATTTAGGCGACATGGAAGTCGGAAGAAGTCTTCAAAGTGACGAAAAACGTCTTCCTTTGAAAAATCACATTCAAAAGGCACATTTTTTATTTTTATTTCTTGTAGATAAACGCAATTCTTACTGCTAGTCAAACTTTAAGAAAATTTGATTAGAATGAAATCAGACTAAACTTTTCTCCAAGCGACCAGTCTTATGTAGTTTTAAGTTGGGTTTCAGATCATTATGTATTTTGTTTAAGTTGCTGTCAAATTCAATATAAGATCATTTCGTTAGTCCTCGTCGAAACGAAAGATTTAATTGCCAGTGACAATTGATATAATAATAAGTTTAGCTCTCGCATGCTGTCAAATCAGACATCAAAGCTTTCCAGATAGCCTAAACTTCATTTACAGTAATCTGAAATCGATTTCATTTTATTGATTTCATATTACTCCCAGTGTTGATGGTAAATTTTTTTCACCTTTCTTATTTCGAAAATTGTTCCTGGGTAAATAATGTTTTAAAGATAAAATCAGTTTTCTCAAAGTTTAATTTAAATCGAGTGATGAAATCACCTTCAAATTGTTCCTGGGTATAAATAAAGATAAGTTTTCTCAAAGTTTAAATTGTCGAGTGTAGGTGGAAATCACTCGTAAAGTCGCTTATAAGGACTGATAGTCGATGGTAACAGACTGTCAGAAAGGCTTTGTAGCTTTTCTTTTCTTTTCTTTTCTTTTCTTTTCTCCGTGTTCTTAAGTTTTCTTAATCAATTTTCCTATTGGCGTGTTTAATGTTTTTTGATCAGTAAATATTGATTGATTTCGTTTTGTAGGTACTGACTTTCCACCGTCCTTAGAAGTGGCTGCCCAGCAGGTGGCCGTGGCTGGAACGGCGGCTGCAGCAGCGGCAGCTGTAGCCGCAGCAGAGGCGGCCATTTGTTTCCCGTTCGATGTGAATGGAACCATGACTGGAAATCGGGATAGTGCCAATTCGATCAACTGTGGGCCCCTCAGTTTTGAAGGGCTCGAAAGGACATCATCAGGTGCAACAAGTCAATGTCTAAGCACCTCAAATACGTCAACGTCTCCTCCTCTTACTTCTACCACTTCCTCTTTTAGCGCCTTTCGACCATGGCTTTGTAATCCTTCGAAAAACAGCACGTCACCAATCAGCCAGATTAATTTTGCAGGTAAAATTTCGTTTTTGTTTTGTCTGTTGAAACTGTTATCTCATAAGAATATTTTAGATAGTTTACATATTGGGGACATCGTCAAAATCACACTGGTACTGATATTGCATTATCTGGACAGTTACAACGGTAATTCTGATTCAGGAACCCAAATAGCGAAAGATGCTTTCCAGAAATTAAGCAAAGTATTAAGATTAAAATATCCTAAGAAACAGAGAAAAGTAAGTTCATACATGAACTTACTTTTCTCTGTTAAAATATCCTAAGAAACAGAGAAAAGTAACTACATACATAAACTTACTTTTCTCTGTTTCTTAGGATATTTTAATCTTAATACTTTGCTTAATTTCTGGAAAGCATCTTTCGCTACATGTCATTTCTTACAATGGCAGGAATTGGGGGACAATGTAGTCCTACAGATAAATTCTGACAACTGGAAACATTTTGAAAACATAATGATCCTGCGATATACTCGATCGCCTGGGTACAAATTTAAGAGAGTCAAGAGATTTGCCGATCGCTTCTTTTGATTTACAGGGTTTAAGTTAATCTCTTGGCAAGAAAGAAGTTCCTTTCAGATTCCTTCTTCCAAAGAAACGGTACATTTTGTAACAGACTCCCGAGGGGTTGCTTTTCACTGATTACAACAATCTTTACCCTCTCAAATTTCGGGTGAACCATTACGGTAATTTTCTAAGCGTAACTTAGATGTGGCACAAAGCCGGAATCATGGACACTCAATGCGGATCGAACTCACTATTCAGTCGTAATTGTTCTAGCGAGACGTGCTTGCTAACCACTACATCACTTCGAGGTGTCCAAGGATCAACCGTTATGAACTTTCAACAATCTTATCCTCTACCTTGAATGCTTCTTGAGCCTTGTATTGGATTATCAAAAGTAAAAAGAAAAAACAACCAAAAATAAAAAAGATCAAGACAAGAACAAATAAGTTAAATGCATTTAGGAACATTATTTACATTATTCGGGCTATTATCCTCATCTTTGTCGCCATATTTATTACAACGTTTCGGTCGTTGTACGCTCCGGCCTTCTTCAGGTGGTTGGAATGTCGAACTTAACCCTTTATCTCGCTCACTGGGGTAGACTGTTCTAGTTCCACGTGCCATGTTTAATGGATGTTAGTTATCAGTTATCTCTTTTTAATTTCCCTCTGAAAGGTCTCCACTGCCTTAACCGGGTATTGAACTCACACTCTTTGGGTCCTGTCACTGGATCTAACCAACGACAAAGACGAGGACAATAGTCCGAATAATGTAAATAATATACATAATACTTCATCTCAGAAATATAGACAGATGCATTTAGGAAGATCTACTTTCTATGGTACAGCAATTTTTAACTGGGATAGGCACATGCATCTATTGACGCCACAAAACAGGTCAGCTAAGAATCGCTTCTTAACGGCAGAATACTTAAACACTTTGCCGAAAATTTGTCAGAAAGCAGGAAAATGTTAACTGCCTCACCGGCCAAGCGAAGTAAGTAACATTTTTCATCAGCCGATCCGAGAGCCAGAGTGAAATATTGGTATCTAACATCGAGAGAAGGCTACACCGAAGGGAGAAGTTATTCACGATAACCTCTTGATTCAACCGGAACGTTTTATCTGTCTCCGAGCGAGGGTGTCATTTTGGCACTTGGCAAGAAGACATACCAACATATGTATGGGTCTCTGCCAAATTACAAATTTGTTAATCAGCCTCCGGTGCAACGATTGGCATGTCATTGGAGACAGGAGACACAAAATTGACGGTTGGAGGTGACAATCTTGTATTGCACACCTTGCAGAAATATTAGCAGCCTTGTGAGTACCAGCAGAGACACATTCTGATAAGAGTGAAAGAGAGTGAGAGTGAGAAATGTAGGGAGTGAAAGAAAGCGAGGGAGTGAGATAGTAATAGGGAGAGAAAGAGAGAGAAATAAAGGGAGAGGGGGAGACAAAAGAAAGAAATAAGGATCAAACTACTACTCTAAGTATACTAGGGATCAAACTTTTCTAAGTATACCTTATATATATATATATATATATATATATATATATAAAAGAAATAAGGATCAGACTACTACCTAGTATACTTAGAGTAGTAGTTTGATCCTTATTTATTTTCTTTGTCTTTCCTCCCTTTTATTTCTCTCTCTTTCTCTCCCTATTATTATCTATATATCTTTATATATATATATATATATATTATATAAAATATATATATATAAATCGAAAATATTAAATATGTTATAAAATCACTACAAAAATAGCCATTTTGTTTCGACACTTCTGATGTCTTATCAAGTGATGGTGTTGAATGTAGAATAAAGGGTTTTAAAAGGTCCACATCAATCAAACACCCCTCGCTAGGGAAAACACTGTTACATAAGCTGGACTGATCAATCAAAATACAAGTATGAAAATTCAAAAAAACTTGACAACGAACTTTGGTTATAATTATTTAATGCTTTAATATTAGGGTTAGACTAAAATAGAATTCATTCTAATTAATATTAAATTATACTATAAAATTCAAAATTCAAAATTATCAATTTAAAATTTTATCTATATTAAGTTTTAAAAATTATAAAATTATTTAAAGAAGAATTTGAGGAAAAAATACATGTTTTGTTATTTATTTTGTGTTTATTGAAAGGCCAAAAATTAACTTGGAATAAACGTTAAAATTTAATGTTGCTCGGAACTCCCTTACAATTTAGACAACGGAAGTGTTGAAGCAAAATGGCTATTTTGTAGTGATTTTATAACATATTTATATTATAATTTTCGAATAAATAATTATATTTGCTCTACTCTGTACTGAGCACTCTTTTAAGAATAGTATTTGTTGGTTATTGAATTTATTCCATATACACCAATTCTATACTTGTATATATATATATATATATATATATATATATATATATATATATATATAGAGAGAGAGAGAGAGAGAGAGAGAGAGAGAGAGAGAGCGATGATAGGATATTTACCTGTTCTGGCCCTTTTCATAAATTTGGCAAAATGAGTATTTCAGATTCTTTTTAGAAGACCGTCTAGATCGGATTAAGAAATTTTCAATGGCCCATGTAATATATATATATATATATATATATATATATATATATATATATATATATATATATATATATATATATATATATGATAAAGTTAATTGTTAATCTGTGTGGATAATTCCAAGGAGGATATAAATCTCCAAAGGTCAATGTAATAAACAGAGCAAGTTATAATTAATTATATAATATATATATATATATATATATATATATATATATATATATATATATATATAGCACTCTTGTTCAACGGACAAGAGTTCAACGGATCAGGCCAATCTCTCTCTCTCTCTCTCTCTCTCTCTCTCTGGATGTGTCAAAGTTGGCTTTGTTTGACCAATATTTATCTGAATCAATGCAGTAATCTTTGTACAGCGCCATATCAATATTAATGATGAGAAATGATGGCCAAAGTTATTGTAAAATGTCACAAGTGAACACCTCTTTACTAATTCTTTACTGCTTTCATCAAGGACAAAGTTGTTTTTGTTTTCTTTAAACAAATGCTTGCATACACCCCTACTAATTTGATTTAGTCAATTGTATCAAAAATTATAGTGCACTGATTGAACATCAAACTCAAAACACGTTAGTAACAGTCTTAAATTAGTAAATTATATATGATATGCAAAATATATTATAAAGAAACTAAATCAGTTGTGAAAAAGGCAGAAACTTTTACAGAACAAGAGAGTAAAAGTTGTTATCGATTTCTCATAAAATCAGTAAAATGCAAAGGATTTTTCTTTTTACCTGTTTAATGTAAACACCACAGATAAAAATAGACTGTATTTTTGCGAAGCAAAAGTTTCACAAAGAACTCTGCTTTTATTAAAGTTTTAAATTAAAGAAAGATCACTTTCTCGATGTTCCAAAAAAAAAAAAAAAAATGGGCAGATTTGGATACGCAGTTTTGTTTTCATTAAAAAATTTTATTTTTCATTTATTTATTCATTCTTTTTATTTATATTTATTTATTGCTATTTTTAATCCATTATTCCTTCTTTTTTTTAAATAATTTCTCGTAAAAGAAAAGAACTTTCTAAATTACCATTGTTTTTATTTTAGGTGACACCCTTAAACTCCTCATGCAGAAGATGCACAACAAATTGAACTATGCTGATGTCTACCGCTATCATTTGTTCCATCAAGCGAGTATTCCAAGTCCGGGAAGCACAGGCACAGGAAATGGAGCAAGAGGTGGCTCGACCAATGAAGGAGGAGCTGGTTCCGCAGGGGGAGGAGGCGGTGGCAGCGGAGGTGGTGCGGGTGGTACAGGTGTTGGATCGGCAGCCGCCGCCGCCGCCGCTGCAGCTGCCGCAGCCGCCGCTGCCGCCGCTGCAGCTTCTGGTCGGGTACCGCATACAATGGACTTTGCCTACGGCCAACAACTTTGGAACTCAGCACAACTTTGCCACTTCTTAGGGTCCAAAATGAACAAACCACTTTTAGGGGATGCTGATCGTTTGCTTCGTGAAGGACTCGGGGTTATCGGCGGGTTTGGGGAGCCCTTGGTTCGATGGCTGGCTGGCAGTCTAGGCACGTCGGTGACAGATCGTGGACTGGGATCCCAGCCTGACCGTCACCATTCTGGGCGTACCATCAGTCTCGGCACTGGTGGAGGTCTCGGCACGAATGGATTAAACGGCGGTGTCCTACACGGTGTTGGTCGCAACGGGGATGGTCGGGGAGCAGACGGAACCGGCGGTACAATATTAGGAGTCAACGGTTCGCCAGTCTCTGGGAACGGCGATGACGGACCGTTCGAGTGTGTGAAATGTCTGAAGCACTTTACGACGCCGCACGGGCTGGAGGTGCACGTGCGCCGTTCGCACAGTGGCAAGCGTCCGTACGCATGTGACGTGTGCAGCAAGACTTTCGGCCATTCGGTGTCACTGTCGCAGCACCGGGCTGTACATACCCAGGAGAAGAGCTTTCAGTGCCAGCAGTGCGGCAAATGCTTCAAGCGATCCTCGACGCTTAGTACGCATCTACTGATACACAGCGACACACGGCCCTACCCCTGTCCTTACTGTGGCAAGCGCTTCCACCAGAAGTCGGACATGAAAAAACACACCTACATACACACAGGTGAGAAAGACATCAACTACTTTATATACAATACAGTGTCTTTGATAAACAAAAGACACATGTTTAAAATTTCTGGAGTTTCTTTGTTCGAGAAAGTGTTGAAAAATTCTTGTCTGGTCATTTAGCAAGATTTTAGAAAGTGGGTTGTGAACTTTTCAGCACTTCCTTTTATATGTATTTATTTAGCTTAGTTGTGTTTGTCCCAAGGCCACAAATACGGAGCACTGAGTAAGATCAATTTACACCGTAATCATGTTTTATTATCTAACTCGTTAACTGATATTTCCTGACAAGGTATCCGATTATTTTTCGATTAGAAAAAACATTATCTATCTCTCTCTCTCTCTCTCTCTCTCTCTATCTATATCTATCTATATATATATATATATATATATATATATATGTATTAATAGTAATAATACTCTTATAAGTATAAGAAATTATACTCGTTCGGAAAACCTTCGGTGTCTTAATTTGCAAACAATCAAACCAATACCAAAGGGGAAAAATGTATAAAAAAAAGAAAGAGCCAAGAACATGTACGTTAGACGAAAGTAATTGTCTAGCATCCAAGTCCAAAGCCCAAAGAAAAAAAACCCGATACGAGTAAGCAAAATAACTAAATAAAGTACTCAATACGGTAAAACTAGTTAAATCTAGAGAGCCAGGCAATCAGGTTTGTCTGGCTCTCTAGGTTGAATCCATATATTTATATATATATATATATATATATATATATATATATATATATATATATATATATATATATATGGTGCAAAGAGATAGTTTGCTTGGACTTGCTGTTCTGCGCTTCTAGCAGCTTGGTTGGTATAAAAAATTTTTTCCTTCCCTGTCTATTCATTCATGTCATCCATGACAGACTTTTTTTCTTTTCCTCATAATTTTAGTTCCCCGTTAACAGTTCTGACGAGAGGGGACGAAACTGGTCGACTGGTGTGTGTTTTGTTTTAAACTTATCATGGCCTACAATATAAAATTTCCTGTTTTTAATGCCTTAATATATATATATATATATATATATATATATATATATATATATATATATAATTTTAAAACAAGCAAGGTAGTAAAGCCACTAAGACGTAACTGTTTACTGGGAGTGAAAGGAACTGAGAATTTGTTATTGACAAGAGAGTACAAAAGAACAAGAATTAATGTGGCAGATGATGATTAATGATGCCTTTACGTCTTTGAAGATCGCGGTTGATAGGAAAGCAAGAAGCCAAAAAGGTGTTCTACAAGGGAAAGGTGCAGGAGAAGAAGAAACCAGAACATAACTTTCATTTTGCAATTTCAACAGTAAAACGATGAGTTTTAGCTGCCATTCTAGTACCCTACTTTCATGAAATCGAGGAAATAAAATGAAAACAATTGCCCTGAACATATATATAGAAAAGGCACAGGGGGGCGGTGATATGCAGGTAGGAAAATTGTTTGAAGCCGAGATACCAGATCAGGAATGATAATATTGCATATTCTTCTTTGGGTTTTATCAAGTATTTCTAGATACGTAGCAGAAGCACTAGACCAGGTGTGGTAGCGATGTTCAATGCCCGTTCGAAAGATAGACTTAACTTTATCGATTAGGCAATGTGTTCTTGAGGACAGACGGCCCAGTGGATAAAAGAGTTGGTTAGATCCACTGATTAGACCCTAGTTTTGAGTTCAAAGTAAAACTTGGAGAGTTAAAGGGAAATAACTGAGACATCCGGAAGTGGTCTGGTACGTGGAACTAGAACAATCTACCCCAGTGGATGAAATAAAAGGTTCGGTTCGAAATTCCAATCACCTGAAGAAGGCCGAAAGTAGCCAAAAATATTGTGAATATGAGGATAACAGTCCGAATTAAGTAAACATAATACCTCATCTCATATATATATATATATATATATATATATATATATACATATATATACATATATATATATATATAATGCCATTCGCAGACAGTACTGAGTCGCTGTATCCCAGCGACTCAGTGCGACTAGACAACCGAATGCCTCAAGCGTCAGTCAGAGCTTCTAACAATGAACCATCTTCACTCGACAGAACGCGTCAACCAAACTTAGCGTATTGTTTTTACGAACGTAAACAAATGCCAAGTAGCCATAGTGCTCCATTCATTTTACTGAAGAGCTTCGCATTTATGCAGGTGACATATATATATATATAAATTTGTTTTTTAATTTCTAATATTTAATGATTGTCATGGGTCATAGGAAAAATAGAGCCTCAAAGAAGAGAAATATATTGTAAATATGGCGAGTAACGGGAACACAACGTGGGAATTTCGAAAATGTTGGATCAAAATGAATCAAAGAGAAAATTGAAAACATCAACAAGAGAAGAACAAGAAATAAAACTAAGAATCTTACATGAAATCTTTATTTTAAGAAACTCACAAAAAGAGATTTGATAAAAATCAAAAGAAAAGGACAAGAAAAGTCACCAACTTTTCCACTAGAAGTTATTTGAAAAAGTTCGTTTTTCAAACGATGACTATCATATCTATTGGCTAACACAATGATAACAAGCAAACTGTTACCTTTAATCAAGCATCACAAAGAGAAAATTTGACCGAAGCAGTGCAAGAAGACTTATTTCTCAAAATATTTTTAATGATTAATGTAAAGCTACATTGGATGAACTTGATGGATGCACTTGACGTTGGATATTTCATAGAAATAATCAACCAAAACGATTTAGAAGATAATCGAGTGTTGGTGTATGTTTTGAGTTAGCACTGTAGACAGTAAAATTACAGATCTCTTCAAAGTAGGTGATAATGTCAAGATAAATTCAGAGAGTTGGTTCATCGACAAGACGCTCTTTTGAATCTTGATAACATTTAAAGTAAAATGTATACTCATGCCAGCCGCAACTCCTTCCCAGTTTGCAAATCTAAACATTGCTAACATTGCCAAAAAGAGTTTAAAAACAACAGATTAATATGAGGGTTTCAAACCTTTCCAGATCATCTGTCATCAATCATGTGCCCTGTGTGATACACGATTAGACGATCATGTATCTTTCGATACATGACTGACGAGGCAGATTTTTTCCCGCGGTAGGTCGCCATTTCTTTCTGTGGTAGATCAGTTGCTATCTAAGGCTACAGAACCCAGTCTGTCCTGCTATTTACCCATAACTGAAGGGAGAAGATGAGGATTAATACCTTTCTCAAAGGAATTAGCACGTAAGTGAATGTAATGGATTCAAATGGAGTTCGAACTCGGCTCTTCCATAGGCCCAGATGTATAAGAGAATCGAAAACAATATTTAAGCAAAGAAGATCCCCTGCAAATAATAAAAACTACAGTAAGTAATATTAAAGTTGGAACAGCAGAAAAGTTTAAATCAGTGATGGAAAGACTTGTGAATGTTATATAATGTCAAAGATTCAATATTAACATGCATGAAGAAAGGAAATTAATTTATTCACGTATATGGGATATTGTCTTAATATTTTTCTACGGTTTACATATTTTTTATTAATAAAGGAAATATGTTGCACTTAGTTTGTTGGTATAATAAAGCCTGACAAAGCCGAAAACAAGATCGCTCAAAAGATATATTATTCGTATAAATATAATCGTATCTTGAAAATTTAACCAAGATAAGTTGGTTAATAGGAATTATAGTATAAAAACATTGACTTGCATTTTAAAAAACAGAGTGTCTTTATCTTGACTGCTGTTGGTTCTCAGATTTTATCATTACAAAGACAGAAAAGAAATCAAAATCTAAACTCTAAAAACATCTGATTTGATTCCCTCTTTTATCAAACTCGTGTCTACAAGCCCAACACCTGCTAAATGCTGACTGTAAAAAAAAAAAAAAAAAATCTGGCCTTGATCGATAATTCTGTAATTAATTAAGTATGTCAATCCATAGTCAGTTTAGAAGTGATGACATTTCATATTAGATATGCAAAGGTTTCTTGCACTTAAAAAAAAGTTATATTTTGTTTTTGGAGAAAGAAAAAAGCGAAAAAAAATCATAGCCAAGTGGACGATGTTTACTCATTCCCCCACGAGAATGAGATGTGGCACAAGGTCGGATTAATGTGGGGACCCGGACAGAGTCAAAAATTCCCCTCAGCTCCTACAACCGTCGGTTGCGCTGGCCTCGGTGCGAGCAGCGATCCCTCCCTCTTGTGCAATGGGAGGGCGCGGCCCCTGGCAGCTGTTCCCCAGGGCTGGGCACCTCTTCAGTATAATTTTCCTCAGTTGCCCCTCTGTCCTTTGACAGAGAAGCCCCTGAGAGCACTCTGTCCAAGGACAGAGACGCAACTGAGAGATAATAAATAATGCGAAATCACTCCAAGGAGGAATTTGCACGGTTTATCATAGCCAAGTGGACGGCAATTTGGTCACATGTTGTCTTTAATTATATGGTTTACATATGGTTTAATTATATGGCTTACATATTTACATATGATTTAATTATATGGTTTACATATTTACTTCTTTGTTAGAGAAGTGGGTTTGTGATTTTAACTCATTAATGACGACCTTAAAATCCGGTTTTAATTATAAATATAAAAATCCTTTAATAGTTAATTAATTCTAAAAACCCGATATTAACTATAGGTTTATAAAAATCAGACATAATAGATGTCTACTTATACCCCATGAATACCCACTGTTTCATTTTTGTGAGGCTTAGAATTGATGGTTTAACAACTATAATACATGCATATATAAGAATTCTATTCACGCATGCGCTCACAAATATTTACGGTTCATGAATAACATAAAAATGAGGAAAATCTGTAAACATTTTTGCAGCTTGGAAAATATGGAAACCATTTTTTCATAATTTTGGTTATGTTCAATATTTCTTGATATTAAAATCAACCAAATGCACTTTATATATGTGGATTATTATATAACTATAAGATATCAGATGATATTGTATAATCAAAAATTTTATTTAACACCTAACAATTAGAAATTCAAAAAGAAATTAAATATGAAATTCAAAATTATCTCCCTTGGTTACAATATTTCGTTGAGAATTGCCGATCATAAAAAATAAGTATAAAAAATTATTCAAAAGTTAACATGAATTTAAAGTGACACATTCATAACTTCACTTCATTATTTAGTTCGGAGTATTGTATTGTAATGGTAAAACTAGGTATATCCCTCTTTAATATAAGTTTCATTAAATAAGACAGATGAGGTGCTTTTGTTGAGGCTTGTATTATACTTTCCGTGCATGCGTATATAAATGTTTTGTTTTTTGGACTTAATGTATAAATTGTCCAAGTGATTTTTGATTACCCAACGTTTTCGACTAAATCGTTCGCCATTTCCAATTTGGGTAAAGGTAGCCTACAATATTAGTTATACTACTATAGTAAACTGCGTGTAAGTTTTATTGCAGACATTATGAAAGTTTCCTAGTTTAGTTTTCACATACTAATACTAGCTGTTGCCTGTGTTCAGCTTAAGACCAGCTTTTTAATTATTATCGATGGGTACTTCTCAAAAGTAGAAAAAAAAATGTTTAACATTGTAACTGAATACATGATCACGTGACATAATTAACCAATGATCACATCAGCTCTTTTTAATTTTGTCATATCTATCTATCTATCTATCTATCTATCTATCTACCTATCTATCTATCTATCTATCTATCTATCTATCTATCTATCTCAGTTTGTTTATAAGGAGGGGTGATGAGATTGAAAAAGTTGTTCAAGAGGGATTTGTATTTAAAAACAGCATTCGTAATCCTGAATTTAATGAGGTTTGAACGGCAATTATCAGCGCCGATGTGAAATACGAATATATATATATATATACACATCTATATATATATATATATATATATATATATATATATATATATATATATATACACACACATATAAACATAAACATATATATATATATATATATATATGTGTGTGTGTGTGTGTGTGTGTGTGCATGTACATAAATATATATATATATATATTATGAAATGGACAAAATCCCACAAATATTTTAAAGACATTTTTATGTGTATACATTCTTTTTATAGATACAAATATTTAAGTAAATGCTCTGTTTATAATAAACAGTATTAACGACATTTATTATAAACAGAGCATTTACTTAAATATTTGTATCTATAAATAAAATGTATAAACATAAAATGTCTTAAAACTTATATATATATATATATATATATATATATATATATATATATATTTGGTTGTATTGATGTGAGTTTGTGACCCTGAATTTCACGCTTTTATGATCGTCAGACAAACTAATAAGTACCGCACATATAATATATAAATAATAATATATATAATATATTACAAATATATATATATATATATATATATATATATATTATATATACACACTTTTCACACACACGGAAATACAAATTTTTATATATATATATATATATATATATATGTGTGTGTGTGTGTGTGTACCCATGTGAATTGGGGAAGTAATATATTCTGCAAATTTTGAGTATTTTTTTAATCAATGCATTGCTTTTTTACTTTCAAGATTCTTTATAATTTCCTCCCAGCTAATTTTACAAGTTTACTTCTCGTCTTAATTTAAAATGGGAAAATCCTACACCACTTATTTTTTTCTTTCATCCGTCGTCTGTGCTGCCATCTTTGTAATTATTTTCATTATCTGCCCAAAATAGCCATTAAATGATTAAGTTGTTTTCACCAAAAATCTTACAGTTCTCTCAAACATCCGCCTTTTGAATCAGTGACGCGAAACTAAATTGAAAAAAAAAAAAAAATAAATGAACGAAATAATAATTAAAAAAAAAACACACACACACAACCGAAGATAATAATGATGACAAAAAACAAAAAATACGGATATTTTTCTTGTGCTGTGGGAGCGGGAATTATTTAAAAAAAAAAAAAAACTCTTTGAGAAATAATATATTTAAACAATAGGATTTATTAAACGATTTACGTGGGTGACAATTCTGTCCTTGCCGTATTTTTTTCTTTTCCCACTTTTAAATGCAGCAATCGAAATTAAGCTAATCCTTATTAATAAAAAATTTAAAAAAAATGAAAATAAATGTAGAAGGAATTCAGGTCAATAAATGAATAAAAAAAGTCAGAAACTAAATAGAAATTTTTATTCAAATAAACGATTAGAATGTAGATTGATCGCCAAGAAAGAAAGAAAGAAAGAAAGAAAGAAAGAAAGAAAGGAGGGTCGATTTTAACGGTGGTGAATCTTCGTCTCCACATCGTTGATTCTTTAGAAAGAAATATATTTGCTCGGTCAACTTTCAAATCTGTCAGTCTGCCTTCCCCATTGCTTTTTTTAATTTTTTCATTTCTGGTCTTTCAGCATAGAACGTCCATAAGCTGAGCAGTGTGTATGTACCGACATCATAACTCCCACGCCATAAAGACATTTCACGATTTCCTTAGAAGTGTGAAAACTTTAACTTGAATGTCCTATCTATCTATCTATCTATCTATCTATCTATCTATCTATCTATGAGATACTACTCAAATTTTCGGACAATTTGACCATGAAAATAAGAAGGTATAACCACCCACATTTTTCCTTGAAATACAACTTAGAATGTTTGCAGCAATCTCAGAAAGGATTCAGCTCACAATTAGTAGAAAAAGGACGTACTACATTCAGTTTACATGTAGTGATCAAATTCTTTGAATCTATACATGTATGGAGGATTCTTTCACTCTCATTATATTTATATATACCTATTGTACATATAGAGATATTATTTCAAATAGAGCATATATGTAAAAGGACAATATGAATAAAGACAAAAGAAAAAAAATATATTTGTCACAAAATAAAATCCTCAGAGAACGAAACGCGTGGGCTTGGATAAGCTTTACTTTTGTCTTTATCACACACACACAGACATATATATATATATTTTTTTTTTCTTTCATTTAACTACATTTAAGGATTTTTGTTTTTTTTTCAAAATTTCTTCATATATATATATATATATATATATATATATATATATATATATATATATATATATATATATATATAATAAGGGAGAGAGAGCGAGACACCAGTTACTCCTACTGTTTAACTCATAGCTGTAGGGGAGAAAATACTGATTCATGCCTTTTTCAAGGAACGCAGCTGTCTAGACACATACACATACACACACACACACACATGCACACACACACACGCACACACTTGTAACAGTAATTGACTAAGTCCAGGGTTGAATATAAGACAGTGTTAGTTCCGAGATTCGGTCTTCTGTCGTAATTTTAAAATGATATTTCAACGATATTTCATTGTACGAATAAAGAAGTTCATTTGGTGAGACTTGTCTTCGTATTTCATATCCCATGAGATAGATGTTCATCGACATCACCTTAATCAATTCGACAACTTAAAACTTGTTAGATTAAACATAAATCTACATATCATATACACAGTTTCTCGATTCTTCTATGTTTTTTTCTTTATTAGCCAGTATTAATAATTTTAAATATGTTTATTTGAAATACAAGCCAAAACATAGCAATAAAATATTTAACACATTGACTGCCAGAGGTCAATTAGGAAATCTGACATCAAACGCCAACTTTATAATAATCAATTCAGGCAATAAAATATATACTGTACTGTACTGATGCGGCATTCACCCTGGGCGGATTGAGCCGGCTTCTTCCTGTTATGAGAAGAAGATTCTTGGGATAAATTACTGAAGTAGGGTACCCAGGCCTACTCGGATAACGTTCTTGCTTGCCGCGGGGTTCCCACAGACGCAGAGACAGGAACGACCAGAAGCCGCCGGTTACCGATGCAGACGCTCCTTGGATTTTCACCAGAGCCGTGGCTTGTGTGTCAGACCTGTCCGCCTTGGGTGGCCCTACCAGGAACGAAGTTCCGGGCGGCATATATGGTTTGATATAGAGCTTTAACTGAAGTCATAGCACTAAAATTATCACTGCGATTAAACTCATTGATGGCACGAGATAACTCGTAGTCTGCCTCGTAATAAAAAATTCCAATCGCGAATTATCTTGTGGTTGTTAATCAATGAGTTAATATCTGATTTGATGCAATTTAACAAATATTTTTATTCAGGTCTGAAGTAGGATTTCAGAGAAACAATAAATAGGAACTAGTGTATCCATGCCCATTCTAAGTTACATTGTACTTACGGAATGCAATAGGGCATATATATATATATATATATATATATATATATATATATATATATATATATATATATATATAGTTATGAAGAACTTGGTAATCTGTATGGGTAATCCCAAGGAGGATGAAATCTTGGGAGCTCAATGTAAATCCAGAGCTAATATTTAAAAGAAAAAACAGACCACTTTAAGGTACCATTATAATAATTTATTTCACCAGAGTCCTTTTAAAGGACGTCGGATCATCAGATAGCACTTCCAAAAATGAAATGAAACGAAAAATTAAATTAAAATTGATGGGTAGTGTATATATATATAGAGAGAGATTGAGAGAGAGAAAGAGATAGATAGATAGATAGATAGATAGATAGATAGATAGATAGATAGATAGTGTGTGTGTCTGTGTGTGTGTGTAATGAAGAAAATGCACTGATCAACACAGCCTTCTTTTCGTCACCCATAAGTAGCTTCATGACACATGGGATGCTAATATCTCTAGACTCGTTAAGCAGCGTGGCAGTTTATCAAATTAATAATAATAAAAAAAAAAAGGATTCAAAATGAAATCTCGCACAAGCGTGACTTCGTTCAAGTCTCCTTTGCTCTGTAAACCAGCAACGAATTGCCAAAACTATTAATAAAACAAAACAAGAGAATAGAGAAATACAAACAAGCGAAATTCTCTTTTTAGCGAGTAATTTATCTTTTGGCCAATTGATTCTATTACTGTCTGATTATTTTGAATAAAAAACACCATGTATTTTTTTTTCTTATTCTATTTATTTTTTGCGTGGCAATTTAAAAAAAAAAAAAACAAAAACAAAACCCTCTTCTGAGTGTTTTAAACATATTTAAAAATATTCACTTGAGTGAAATATTTATTATCTTTTTGTTCAATCGAGAAGATACTGGGTGGCGTGTGTGTTTATGCCAATTAATTAAAAACGCAGAGAGAGAAATAGTTTTTATTTATTTTTGCTCATTTTTCAAGTATTTAATTTCCTTTTTAGTTTACGATAAACAATACACGCAGCAGATGAAAAATAACTCACAAATAGACAGGAGAGTAGTTTAAGACTAATGTGGTCCCTAAAACTCGCTCGTGTTTCTCATTTCTTTAAATCCCGTGAGTGCTTGCTTTCAGAATCCCGTGACGATATTTCTACCCGCTCTCATTGCTTGAGCGGGTGGGTGTGCGGTAGAGAAGAACGTCATGATTATTAATCAATGCAATTTTCAAGAACTAGAAAGTTAAAAAAAGAAAAAAAACAAAAAACAAGTCGAGGACTATAGCTTTTTGAAAGATCTTTTTTCCGTGACAAGAGCAAATGATTGTTTCTTACGCGTTGAACTGATTATTCTTCAAGTTAAAAAAAGTTACAAACTTATAAGAAGAGAGAATCATTTTTAACTACATTGTCTTAGGCCGACCAAAAGTTCATGATTTCACCAAGAATTGGCGAAGTTAAAAACTGTTGAAATTAATTTATTTAGTAGCATCTTTTAGAAGTAATTATAAAATGCGTTCTATAATTATCTGAGTCGTAATTAATAAAGTAAGATTAAAAACATTTGCTTAAATTTACAAATTTCACGCTGTGGTGAACGAAACATGTTAACTAATTCCAACTAATTTATTTATTGAGTTTTGTTCATTTATTCAGAAGGACACCAAATTTGGATGAAAAAAAATTAAATTATAAAATATTGGTTCGGATATAGTATAATGTTGATATTTTTAACTTTATTTTTTTAACTTTATTTTATTAATTTTTTTTAGAAAACTTTAAATTACAATTCCAGTATTTTTCAATAAAAATGTATTCCCTAATTTAATGAGGAGGAATAGATTGAAATTTAAATGATTTAAAAAATGTTCAAATAGAATTGCAATTAAAGATTTTGAGCAATTGGATTTTAGAATTAATTTCATTTTGATTTATCGCTGAATGAAAAAGTTCATTTCTTATTGCCTTTGCAGTTTCATTTTGTTGAGAAATATATAACAATTATTTTGGATATTTTAATTTTTTCTTGCAAGAAGGTTAACTTTATTTACAGGTCTATGAATAAAGGAAAATCATTAAAATGAGAATAAACGTGATTAAAAGTAGAATATGTTCATTTCGCCAGTTTCCCTCTAAAATTTGTCATCATTTCGACATTCAAAGTGTATGTCGTGCAATAGAAATTAGAAAGAAGGAAGTTTTCAGTATTTAGCAATTTATATCAGTGCCGATGACAGAACTGATCTCTCTCTCTCTTTCCCTGTCTCTTTCTCTCTCTCTCCCCCTCTCTCTCTCTCTATATATATATATATATATATATATATATATATATATATATATGTGTAAGCAAATGTAAATGGATATAGATCCGACAGAATGAAGAAAAAATTTTGAAAAAAACAAACAAAAATCCTTAAATGCAATTATATTTGTTTAAAATGAATGAAATGTCGACGTCTGACGTTTTCGGTTTAATAAACCTTCTTCAGGACAATATTCATTAAAATACAATTCAGTTCAATTTGACAAAGACGATGGACATAAAAACAAGTCTTATCCAAAACAGATAACTGAAAATTTTGTGTGTGTGTCTGTGTCTGTGTGTGTGTGTGTGTGTGTGTGTGTAAATATGTATATTTCTCAAGAATGGATTTATTTTTAATTCGATATTATATTACTTCAGACCTTATTTGAGGAGACGGCCAATTATTTTAACAGTATGCATTATGTCCACAAGTCCGAATTACTAAAATTATATATATATGTATATATATATGTATATATATGAAGAGAGAGAGAGAGAGAGAGAGAGAGAGAGAGAGAGAAAGAGAGAGAGAGATGATAATATTGTTAGGTAAAAGAAATAACATCCATTTCAACACATGTGACAAAATAAATCCTACACTGCCCTGATGAATTTCTTCAGAAAGAATAATTTTACACTTTTTCTTTTATTCATTTTTCTTTTATATATATATATATATATATATATATATATATATATATATATATATATATATATTCATTCACGTTTCATTAAATAATATAGACAAGTGTTGTCTATTTATTTTATAAATTCTTTTCATAACGTCTAATAAGTTTTTAACATTATCATTGAACGAAGAAAGAAATTCACAATATTTCTTCGTTCAATGATAATGTTATTAAACTTATAAGACGTTATGAAAAGAGTTTACATAAAATAAATAGACAACACTTGTCTATATTATTTAATGGAACGTGTATGAATGAAAAGATGCTGCCTAAATACACACAATATATATATATATATATATGTATTTTTAGCCAGTAATCTTTCGTTTATGCATGTCTAATTATAAACGACAGACAATGTAC